TCCTCCCCTACCACGCCTCCCCCCCTACCACGCCTCCCCCCTACCAGCCTCCCCCCTACCAGCTCCCCCCCTACCAGCTCCCCTTCTACCAGCTCCCCCCTACTAGCATCCTGCATACTAAAGTACCTATGCAAAAGTCTTGGTGATCGTGCATCTCAGCCATGACAACAATGGTCTGGTATGAGTTGAGATTTTGAAATAACTCAACAACAAATTTTTTAAATGAGAAGAGATTAAAGGAAATAAAATATAAGACCACTATTTACATATTGATGAAATAAAAAATAAAAAAAGTTATTCCTAGTATCTTGTATACCACCCCTTTGCTGCAATAACTACTTGAACTCTGTCTGGCATTGACCTTTACAACTGCTCAAAAAACTCAGAAGGTATTATATCCCATACAATGGGTAATACCTCAGCTAGCTTCTGCTTGATCTTCTCAGGACCACCAGTTGTTGAAGCAATGTCAGGATACTGATTCTGAAGCCTTTTCTGCAGCTCAACCCAGACATGTTCTATGGGATTACGGTCTGATGAACAAGGAGGGTATTCAGCCAACTCAATCCCATTTTGGTTAAATCAATCTTACACTGTCTGAGCTGTATGAACAGTACAGTTGTCTTGCTGGAAGATAGGATCACCAAGGGTGTTACGGACTTGCTCCAGGACTGGAATAAGGCAGGTTTCAAGCAGCTGGAGGTAGACATACTGGTCTACTGATTTCACAACTAAGGGAACCAAGGTTCTCCTGTTTCTGCCCCAGCAGCATCCCCAGACCATCCAAGAAACCCCCTTTCCCTTTCATATCCCTCTCACATAGTCTGGATGCCACTTTTCAGAAGCAGATCTGAATATCCATTTTTGCTTTGGATTCCTGCTCTTTTCCACTGAGCATTCATCACTTCAAATAACACCTTCAATCTCCTCTGCAGTCCAATTCTGGTACGCCTTAGCCCAGGCCAGCCTCTTCTGAGCATGCTCCGGTGAAAGCTTTGCTCTTTTCTTGGCTAGCTACTTCTTAATGCCACTCTCCCTGAGAGCCAGGTCTATTGTAGAAACTGAGATATTGGGAGCCAATATTTACTGCAATTTCTCCCTACTCCAATCCCTGTAGAGCTTAGCTCCTTAAACTAATGATCTCTTGGCTCTCTGGGAAAGCAGGGGTGGTGGACCAGAATGTGAGAGGTTTTCAATTGAATCCCACTAGAGAAACTGGGCAAGAAAATTCCAGACTAACATAAATCACGTGGATCCGGGACATCACCCAGAAGCGGAATGGCGCAATCGCACTAAAGTGAGACAATGTGCTAAGGTAGTTACCCTGCTCCAAAACATCATCAAAGTACCCAAATTACTCCATGATGCCCGCAGTCAAGAAGCGCAATAATACTGGTCGTGAGACATGTATTGGAGCTGCAATTAGGTCTCTGAAGGAAGGCCGACAGGAAAGCATCCGGGCAGCGGCTGAGGCTTTCGATGTTCCAAAGTCCACTCTCTACTACCGTTATACTGGAGAGTGAACCAGCCGCTCTCTTACGCAGGTTGATAACCAGTTAGTTTCAGCTGAGGAAGAGAAAGCAATAGTGGCTTGGTGTAAGGACCAGAATAACCGAGGGTTTCCACCACGATTAGATATGGTAAAAAGTATGGCGCTTTTCCTGTATGAGAAGAGAACGGGCGACAAGGGTAAAAGATTAGGAAAAAATTGGATGCCGAGGTTTCTTGACCATCATCCTGATATGGCTACTAAGTTTAGTACGAAACTGGACCGTCAGAGGGCACATGTGAGCTGTCTATAGCTATTGCGAGATTATTTTGCAAAACTCTCTCAAATTATCTGCCAGAATAACCTAAAGCCCTTCCAAATCTTTAACATGGACAAGAAACGGTTCTTGATGGCGATCGCAGCAAGAGCAAAGGTTATCTGTCACCGTAGGCGCAAAAAGCCTCGAGTTACACATGAAGGAACTTGAGAAATGGTCACGGTAGTTGAAACAATTTGCGCTGCCGGCTATGCTCTTCTAGCATTAGTAATTAATAAAGGTAGTGCACAGTACAAGGGCTGGTATACCAATTTAAGTACTACTATGGCTAACTACCAGTTTGCATTTTCCCCTAATGGGTGGACTGACGATGCGGTGGCTTTGAAATGGGTTACGGAATTGTTTGAACTCTGTACTGCATCTATTGCCCCTCTTCCTCGACTCCTAATACTGGACGGTCATGGCTCCCACATCACATGGGAGTTTTCCACCTATTGCAAGCAGAAAAATATTATTCTGTTTTGTCTTCCATCCCACTCCACACATCTACTCCAGCCCCTCGACATACGAATCTTCAGCCCAATACAAAACTTTTACGGCCATGAAGTTGACAACTATAGCCGAAACAGCCAAGAGGATATAAAGAAGTCAGTTTTTATTCCTCTTTTGCACGATGCCAGAATCACAGCAATCACCAAGTGTAATATCAAACAGGCCTTTGCTACAACAGGCATTGTACCACTCAATCCACGCCACGTTTATACTAAACTAAAGCCTACCTAAGATGATGAGCAGAACGTACTTTCTTCTACAAGTAGCACTCTACCTTTCCGCACATCAAAAAGCTCTCGCGGTATCCGCAGCCAACTACAGGCTACAAACCATTATATCGATAATAGTGCCTCAGTCACAAAAATTAAGAAAATCCTGAAATCTCTTAGCCATGCTGTGTTATTGTCAATGGCTGAGAAAGAGATCCAAGAAAAGGTGTGTGATGGCTTACGGCAGAAAAAGACCTACAATACCCGAGCAGACCAAAAGCAGCTCTCTAAAGCTTATGTGCTTACTGGCAAAGAGCTTAGTGGATTGCGCAAGGCACAAGAAGAGCTTGATTGCCATCCTAAAAAATCACTGTAACGACCTTATGTTATAGAGCTATGGCAACCTAAGTCTACAACTATACGTAACACTAAAAGGTAATATGGTAGGCTAGGAGGGCATGCGGGCGCATGTCCAAGGGATATCTAATGGTCTAGATATGCTAAAGAACAGAAGGTACTTAAGGAATAGGTGTACCTAAGTAGTGGAAGTAAAGTGACTATGTCCGCTCCGGCCTAAGGTTAGGACGGAAGGCCGGGTAAGTTTACCCTGTCTAGGAGAGTCACGTTACCCTACCATAGAGACCAGTTTCATGTCACTATGGACATACTTGCCCTACCTTTGGGACACTATTACCCTACCTTCCATTGGAAATGTTCTCGGAGGAATTTCGGGAAACGTTAGAATTGTTTGTTACGCAATGATGATCGATAGGCACTTGGTTGCACTTTAATCGGAAGACTACGGGAGGAGCTATAGTGCTCCGAACAAGCTGTAACTTGGTAGAATAATTCCTCAGGTACCTGCCGCCCCAAGGTTCGCCCCGGGCGTCATGGGCCAAAATGGGTAGAGTTGCCATCTTACTAGTTAAATGGAGTTCATAAAGACATGTCCATAACACTGTATGCGTCGCTGCCGTCCATCTGACCGGAGGCTGTTCGCAGGATATAGAAGGGGGTGAAGGTGAGAAGGTCAAGTACCTTCTCCAAAAAGAATGGAGTAAAACAGACCAAAACTGACGGAGTTAGCATGAGCTATCCGGAAGGGTCCCCAGAGTAGTCCCAGGTAGTGCCGGAGACATCTGGGAAGGTTTTACGCCAATCAAGCCTACACGTGCCCCTTTGCCGTAGGCTCTTTGTGGGTTGTTTGAAGACTCTAATAGCATGATACTTATCACGCTGAGTGGTGTGCCGGAGGTAAGGGACCATGGGTAGCGCCCACGGGTGTCGCCACTGACACAGCTCGACGTGGGAGCGCCGTGGACCCTTTAAGTTCGTATTCAAGAAAGATAGAGCTTAGCCGGGAGACAGCTGATATCTACGGGAGCTTGCATAGATCATAGCACATGGGGAGAGAGTCATTTAGTTAGCTTTCCTAGGCGTCTCGACAGTTAGCCACTAACGAGACCGAGATGCGCAGAGGTTCTCACTCTGGCAGG